GAAGTGATTGAGATGGATAGAAGGTCTTGAGGATGCCTGGAGATAGGAATTCAATCTTGCACTTTTTCTTGATTTTTTCAGATTTTTATCTCCTTGTTGCGCCTGTTTCTAACCTAGTTTTTGGTCTGGCTTCGTTCTATATGTATTAAGGAATAGATTAGGGTTCCAAAACTGATCCAAATCTTCCTCCATCAATGAATTTGATTTTGATTTGATACCCCTTAAAAATCTTTCCAAAATTTGCCTATTTCAATCTTTTTGTACACACCATGCCTTGATATGAATTTGAATACTTGCTAGCTGTAATTGAAGACCTGAAACAAGCACAAAATCTTGTGTTTTCAATGTTTTGGATTTTATACGATTTATTTTGATTAAAATTGATTTAAATCAAATAAAAATAAAAATAAATAATAAAAACATGATAATGACAAGTGGCAAGGGCTAGAGCTCATGGACTATGTTTCCAACTCAAAACAAGTGAAAAAGATTGGGCCCATTTGGCAAAAATTGAAGTTTTAGGCATAGTTAACTTTTGGCAATTTTGCAAAAAGGGTCAACTTCACCAATGCATAACTTCCTCAATTTTGACTCTTTGGAGGTGTTATTGGACTTTTTAGAAAGCTTGAGATGTCCTCTAATCAACACTTTTGGTATCATCTCAATTTTATATTCCATGCTCTTGTATGAAGCTTTGACAAAAAAGGTGTTTTTGTTGACTTTTCAAAATGACCTATAATATCCAAATTCATAACTTCCTGTGAGTGCATATTTTGAACTTGGGAGCTGATCTATCTTTTCCTTTATCTTTATTCTTTTTTTTAATACTTATAAACTAACCTTTTTTTATCATTTTATTTTTATTTTTATAATTTGAACTAATATACGCCATTTTTGTTTACAAATAAAATAATACATTAATTTCTTTTTCTTGTAAAAAACCTTACTAATATTGTTTATCATACTTAATATATAAATATTAGATTTCTTTTATTATTAGGTTTAAGCATTTTTTTCTTTAGAACTTTTTGTCAACTAAAAAAAAGAACCTTTGTATAAAAACATCCATACATAATTTTCTTTAAGTTAAATACTTTTCTTTTTCTTAAATCTTTTTGTTTGTACATATTAAAAAATACCTAAAAATAGAATGCTTAAAACATTTTTCTTTCATTAAAATCTTTTGTTTGTACATAATCAACAAAATACAAAAAGAATAAATAACAATACTTAATACTTATTTAATAGTACATTAAGTTAAACATTTCTCACTTGTAAATAAATCACATACACTTTTACAATACACATTTGCTTATTCTTGTACATTGCTATACATTACATTTACATTGCGATTGATTCGATTTGGTTGTAAATTATTTGGACACTACTCTCCTAATAAGTCTCATCCCCATTTGTAAATATTTGTACCCCCACTCCCGGATACTTATTTGTAATAGCGTAGACTTTAAATTCCCGCAATTTATCGCTTTCCAAATATACCACATTTAGACCTAGGGTTTGTATGTAAATAAAACCAACCGCTAGATAACCTAATACAAAGATAAATGCATGAAATCAATACACTATTCACACTTGCACCCATAGGGTAATCCCACTTGTTGCCTTCCAAAATGGGCCATACTTGCACGTTGAGTTTCTTTGGCAAAACAAAATGAATCAAATGATCATAGTCCCTCGATGACGCTTTCGAAAGTTGCCTAATCAAAATGATCATAGTCCCTTCAAGCAAAATTGCCAAAGACACTTGACACCATTGCATTCATGGTCCATATGATGACCCGCGCCTGTCCCGTTAACATCCTAACACAAGATTTCCCACCAAATACAATGGTGGAACAAAACTGTTAAAAGGGTTAAAACATGAGAAAAATCTTTGAGTAAATTTAGGGGTAGACAACTCTTAGTTACTTGATCAACTTGCAAAACACACTTGCCTACTTTTCAAAACCCACTCCACAAACACTTTCAAAACAACTTTCAAAAACATTTGAAACATCTTTTCGAAAAGATACACACCTTTGTAAAACATTCGAGTAAAGAATTGTTACAACGGTTGCCTAGACAATGCCTCTTTTTCAAAACATTTTCAAAACACACACACACACCACAATTTCAAGCAATTGAAAATCAAAGGCAAGTGATCTAAAACAAGTAACTAAGAGCCCATGGATAACCATGGATGAAAAGGGTGCTAATACCTTCCCTTTTCATAATCTATCCCCCGAACCTACGAAACATCTCAAAAGGTTTTTCTTGTGCTTTTTAACCTTTCCTTTAGGATAAAATAAAAAGTCGGTGGCGACTCTTGCTAAACCGAACAAGTGCGAATACAAACGCAAAACCTCAAGTCAGTTCTCCCACCGTATCACAGCCATCATCCCTTTCTTCTTACCAAACCTTTTCTTTGGTTTTTATTTTTGAAGCTTTGGACAATCACTTTTGTAGTGACCAGGTTCTTTGCATTCATAATAGATTATCTCTCTTCTGTTTGACTTTTTGTGTCCAGAAGATTCAGGTTTATCTTCTAACTTCTTAAAGTTCCTGAACTTCTTTTGTCTGTGCTTCCACAAATGATTGATCCTTCTGGAGAGCAAGGATAATTCGTCTTCTTCTGACGCCGATTCTTCAGAGTTTTCCTCTTCAGCCTGAAAAGCATTAGTATCAAATTTCTTAATTGATTTAAGGGCAAGAGACTTACCTTTCTTCAGAGGCTCGTGGTCATCAAGTTCTATCTCATGACTTCTGAGAGCGTTGATGAGTTCCTCCAGAGACACGTTGTTCAGATCTTTTGAAACTTTAAAAGCAGTGACCATTGGTGCCCATCTTCTGGGTAAGCTTTTGATGATCTTTTTAACATGATCTGCTTTAGTATATCCCTTGTTCAAAACTCTCAGACCAGCGATCAGAGTTTGAAACATAGAGAACGTTGCTTCTATAGACTCACTTTCTTCAACTTTGAAGGCTTCATACTTATGAACTAAAGCCAGAGCTTTAGACTATTTCACTTGAGCGTTTCCTTCATGATTCATTTTAAGAGACTCAAACATATCATGCGCTGTATCTCTATTAGTGATTTTTTCATATTCTACTTTAGAGATAGCATTTAGAAAAATATTTCTAGCTCTATGATGATTTTTAAAATCAGCTTTTTGTTGTCTATCCATATTTTTTCTGTCAACTTTGTTTCCTTCTGAGTCAGTAGGATGTGTGTAACCATCCAATACTATATCCCATAAATCACTATCATGACCTAGAAAGAAACTTTCTAGTCTATCTTTCCAATACTCAAAATCTTCTCCATCAAAAACATGAGGTTTGTTGTAACTATTGTTGTTTTATTCAGCGGCCATTGTGTTTTCTTCTGGATCTTTTCCTGACACGGTTAAGTGTTGTGCTCAAAGTCAAGCACTGATACCAATTGAAGGGGTAAGAAAACACTTAGAGGGGGGGGGGGGGTTGAATAAGTGACTATTTTTCTTTTCAAAAAAAAGTTCAACAATAATGGAAAGACAAGGTTATTTTTATCCTGGTTCGTTTGAACTCAAACTACTCCAGTCCATCCGTCAAGGTGATTTCGCCTTTCTCAACAAAGACTTAATCCACTATAATTAACTGATTACAAACACACAACAACTGTTGTGACTAACAATGCACAAGTAATCTTACAAGTGACTAACACCACTAAGACTTAAATCTAGTCCTAGTCTGCTTGAGAAATCTGACCAAACTTGGTCTCTCAAGGAACAATTACAAGAGTTTAATCTTACAGATAATGAAATAAAATTTGCTTCTAATCAAGCTATATCACAACTGTGATTTTTCACTTAGAATAAATTTGCACAAAGTGTATGAACAAAGAGTTTGTGAGCCCAGAATTTTTCACGTAGTTTCTTGCTTCTTTTTGAAATTGATTGATTGGTTGGCTTGCAATAAATGTCCTTCTATATATAGTAAGAACAAAAAGACCGTTGCTGCCTTCAAAAAGTGGAGAACATTAAACGCTTGCGTGTTTCTTTGCACTATTCCATTTTCCAAGAACTAGCGTAGGCACTTGAGTGCATACAACCGTCTTTGCATTAAATGAGCAAACAACACTTGTAAGAACATGTTTCCTGAAGCTTGACAAGACATGTTGGCTTTTGCATTCTTTCAGAACTTGCTTCAACGTCTTGAATTCAGGACATGCTTTGCTTGTCTTCTAAACAATGCTTTGCTTGCTAAGAACTTGATCAACGCTTGCTTTCAAATAAACTTCTGAACAACACTTGCTTTCAAGTAATCTTCTGAACAAAGAATCCTGCTAAGTGTTAGAAGATGCATTTAAAAATAATTGTCTTACTAGAGTCAGCAACAGCAGTTGCGCTTAAAGCAAATAGTTCTTTCATTTAAAGAACTTCTTCATATGATTTTTAGCTCAACACATCAAAATGTTTCTGTCAGAATATTATCTGAAACATTCAAATACGTTCATCAGAGTATAAATTATCTAAAATTTAATTTATTGTTATCATCAAAACTCTGAGATAGGTCAAAACTAATCTTGTTATAACAATAACCATTTAGATGTTGAAGGTGCAGAGAGGAAGAACAACTTGGAATGGCGAAGACAGAGGAAAGAAATTTTTTTATTTTATTTAATCCCTCTTTAATAAATTGTAAGGATAACATTTTCACGTGTGTTACTGAAAAGAATATAAAAAAATAATAAAACACAATTCAGATCATCATTATTTACCAATTCATATTTTTTTTTAACGATCCATTAACATTAGAGATTATATTTAATAAGAATTTGACATATGAGGATTTAAACAAAAAAAAATTAAGATAGAAAAACCAAAACTCTCGCTAACTCACCGTGAACACTATTTAAGTCATATTTAAAACAATTTTGTCGAGAATAATTAATAATTTAAAATAAGAAATAAAAGAAGAAGAAATGGTGAGGTTTTGGAGTTAGAACTTAGAAGTGGCGCAAAATGAAGGAACAAGAACTATGCGAGGCGGCGATTAAGGGTGAAACGGAGACGGTAACGGGTCTTATTGATTCCGGCGCCGACGTTACCTATTTCGACGGCGGTGGTATCACTCCTCTCATGCACGCTGCAAAGCACGGCCATGCACCCATCCTCAACCTCCTTCTCTCCGCCGGCGCTCCTTGGAACGCTCTTTCTCCTTCCAACTTATCGGCCGGTGATTTCGCAATGCAAGAAGGTCATCAAGAAGCCTACGAGCTTCTCCTCAATGCCGGTATCGAATTCAAACCACTCTTTATGGTTATTAATTAACACACTGTGCTGAATTTTAAATTTCACTGTGTTAGGGATTCGATCTGAATTAGTGTTGGGAACAATTGCCAGGAAGGAAAAGAAAAACACTGATTCTGGATATGATTATTTGGAAGATAGGGTGAGTTTTAGTGAAGGTAAAGTTATGGATTCTGAAAGTAAAGCTGTGATGATGGCATGGGAGAAGCCGTTGATGGAGGCTCATGCTAAAGCTGTTTGTTTAGGAGGTGGTCATGTGCTTAATATTGGATTTGGAATGGGGCTTTTTGATACGGCTATACAGCAATATTCACCTGTGAAACACACCATTGTTGAAGCTCATCCGGAGGTTTATGAACGCATGCTTCGCGATGGTTGGGGTGAGAAGGAAAATGTTAGGATTATTTTTGGCCGCTGGCAAGATGTTCTGCCTCAGCTTGAAACATATGATGGTAATTGCTAACCTATGTGTGTGCATTAAGTATAAAAATCAATGTTTAATTGCAATACTAGAATTGACTGTGTATAGATGTTTTGAGTGTGTTTGGGAGAGCTTTTGATAAACGTGATTTTGATTTTTGAATAGAATTAATTTTGTAAGATTGATTTGGTTATAGTTGAGTTTGTTATTAAAGTGTTTATGGTTGGATGACTTAACTCTGAAAGCAAGTTTGATAAAAAAGCAGTGTTATCAAACTGCGGCGCCATGGCCGCTATGGCGGATATACATGGTGGTTTTTGAGTTCGCCGCAGTGGTAAATATCAGCCCCTAGTTGCGGGTTTCTCCGCCATAATCCGCAAAGATGGTGCCACAAAGCGGCCGGTATGACGGGATTTTGGCTCTCTGCCATTGACAACACTGTAAAAAAGAGTATTGTTGATTTTCTAATCCAACATAATGGCTACGATTAAGTTTTAATCCCTTCTAATCAAACTAAGTATTGAAGTTAAAATCAATTTTGTTTGACAAACCAAAAACACATATTTGATACTCTCTCTAGTCCTATTTATACGAGACAAGATACTTTTTAGATTCATTGAATATAAATAGGACCGGAGGGAGTATTGTTTTGCAAGGATATTTGGAAATATGTGATAGCTGTATCTGTTTTTGATATGTTTTACTTTTGTGAAAAACATTAGAGTTTTTTTGTTGTTTGGTTCTGATGTCTGGTTATTCGTAGCTGAGAGTGCATCTAAACACTTTAACGTGGACCATTTGTTTTGATTTTTTTCAGGGATATTCTTTGACACCTATGGGGAGTACTATGAAGATTTGAGAGAGTTCCACCAACATCTCCCAGTATTGTTGAAACCGGATGGAGTTTACTCTTTCTTCAATGGCCTATGTGGTGGTAATGCATTTTTCCATGTTGTTTACTGCCACTTGGTATCACTTGAGCTTGAGAATTTGGGGTATTCCACACAATTAATTCCTTTGCCTGTTAAGGATTGCTTGGGGGAACAAGTTTGGGAAGGTGTTAAACATAGATACTGGCAGCTTGATACATACTATCTCCCTGTTTGTCAGTCTGCAGAGAACTCTGAGTGATGTTTAGTTTTTAAATTTAGGGTCTGATTTGATCACATTTTCAGAAACAATATCAATGATGTTTAGTTTTTATTGTAGGGTATGATTTGATCACATTTCAGAAAGATACTTACACATGATTTATTGTTGCTTGTGTAAGGTATTGTTTTGTAAGAGAACAAAAAGTGTCATATTGAAATCTTGAGCTTTATTTCAAAATTTCTTTACATTGGGTGTACTTTGAATTTAGAATTTATGACCATATAACAATGAAGAAAAAAATTACGAGCTTATAACCAACACGGGTCAAGAGAGTACATTAAAAGCTACAACGTGTCTTTCATTAATAGGAGTGAAAATTGAAATCAAATTTCTTAGTTTTCCTCTATTAAAGGCTGGGGTGACAATCTAGCGATATAATCAATGGTGGGTTCTTATGCAAATGTCACCATCCTATTTTACTGTACTTGTTGAAAGAAAAAAAACTGATTTCTTTTTAGAATTGCTTCTAGAATTGGATGGCAGAGGTAAGCCCTTTCTTCTTTTCAGGTATGCTAGGTGTTCGAATTTATGACTCATCACATACTCCTATTTCGGAGGTAAGCCGGGGAATACATTTAGAAAACCCTGCATCATGCATGTTAACCATATGGCCGATAGAAGGAACACAAACACATGACTCTTAAACCACGAGTCCATCTGTTTTATCTGTTTGTAGAGTAGTTGGTAATCAAGATTATGGCATTTCACTTAATTCATTGTTTTTTCAACATTAGAGTATTCCTGATTTGGTTAATGTCTATCACTGTTACGAACTCTGGTTTTTGCACTTAAGAAATATAATGGATGAGGGAGGGTTGTGTTTTTACCAAAACAAAAATGATAAATCATCTGGACTGAGGATTTGGCTAGTTGTATCAATCCAAGCATTACCTGTTATCCACTGGGTAAACAAATATCTTATTTTTTACTGTCATACCACTTCATTTTTAAGCTAATGCTTCATATTTTTATTCATTATTAGTACCAACCAACCACTAGTTCATTGACAAGAAATACTGCAATTATGTTGGTAAAATATCATATTGATGCCTAAAATAGGTCAATCATTTGATATATTCAACTGTGATGTAAGTTGTGCAAAGTGGGTAATCGGTAATATGAATTGCCATTCAATGCCATTACTCACATGTGTTATTGCCCTTTTTTCTGTATAAAATTATTCTTTACATGAAACCACAGCAAAGAGACACAAATTCAGCTCTATTATAGGCTTCTTTGCTGGACCAACAACAGACTAAAGAAGTGAAATACAATTATTCTCATACTTGCATAATATCGCAACAGGTAATTCAGAGTCAGGGACTTGAGATATCACTGTCAAGTCCAGCTGAAAGCAATGGGACTAGTGACATTATGTTTCCCATCCGACCATTCCAGATGAGCAAAGCTGGTTGTACCAGAAGACATTGAATTAGACGTGAATGTAACAGTGTAGCTCTTCTTCTCGTGCAATGTCTTGAAACTGAGTGTTTGTGGTTCAACCACAATCTTAATCAAAGGAGACTGTGATGACACTGAAACTTTATATGTTGATGAGGTCCCTATGTTAGTCAGAATCCTTTTGTACTGGACAGTGCTTGGCTTGTGAGAACCACCTGAAGCTGTGTCAAATGGAACAGCAAAAGATGGGTAATTGAGATCTTCCACCCTGTATTTAATCCTTTTGTCACATGTGAATTCTCTTCTTGCAACAAGCTTTAGTTGAAATGAAGTGTAGTTCAAGGCACAGAGGAAGCTCAAGTAGTCATCCGCTGTAGTATCATACACAAGACCAGGATCAAGAGCAGCTACTGGATCCGCGTGCCCAGAACCATAGTCAAACGGCGTAGCAGGTGTCCCAGTAGCAATATCTTTTATGGTTTGCCCATTTTTGTAGGTTCTATAGGATGTGGTCATGAGGGCAGACCTTATAGCCGCAGGACTCCATTCAGGATGAGCTCCCTTAAGAAGAGCGGCTAACCCACTTACATGGGGGCATGACATGGATGTGCCAGACATGACGTTGAAGCTCACATGCCTTGTGTCATCAGACAAGCCAGTTGGTCCGACTTTCCCAGTCCATCCAGCTAGAATGTTGACTCCTGGAGCTATGAGGTCTGGTTTAAGTATTTTCGGTGTGAGTATATTTGGTCCTCTAGAGCTGAAAGCAGCCACCACTGGGGATGGCTGAACCCCTAATTGAGTACCGCCGAATGCAATTTTAGCGGTTGGGTTGCGAGTAGAAGAAACATACTTCTTTACTTCACTGCTTGCTTTCTCTCCCAAAGCTGCTGCTGGGAAAAGATAGGAGTCAGCAACTAGCTCTTCCCCATAATCTTGGTTGTTTGCTAAAATCATCCCAATCCCCCCTGCACGCTTGACAACCAAACTCTTTTCTGCTCTAGGGTTTCCTCCTCTGTCACATATCACTATTTTTCCTGAAACTTTACTAGGAATCAAACTACCTGTGGTACAGAGGTTATCACTAGAATCCGAATTCAGGCTGACGTTAGCAGCATAAACAAGTGGCACTAGAGAATCAGGTGGCAATTTTCCATTGTAAAGAGACACGCCACTGTATCTGTTCCCGTTTCCAAGGGTGATATAAGCAGGGAAATTGCGGTCTATAGTTCCAGCTCCCACAGTGGTTATCCATGGCGCAACATTAGCCAAAGATGCTTGACTAGGTCCACTATTTCCTGCTGAACTGGATACTAGTATTCCATGTTCTATGGCTGCAAAAGTTCCCATTGCCACACTGTCTTTGTAGTAGTCCGTTAAACCTCCACCAAGAGACATAGAAAGTATGTTGACGCCATCTTCGATGGCCTTGTCAATTGCAGCAACTATATCTGTTGTAAAGCACCCACCAATCCAACATGCTTTGTAAGTAGCTACCCGAGCTTGTGTGGCCATGCCTTTTGCTGTCCCGGAAGCAAAACCAAAGAGGCTCGCTCCTGCAACTGCAGAACCTGCTGCTGTAGTTGAGGTGTGGCTTCCATGTCCATCATCATCCCTTGGTGACTTTGATTCCGTCTTTTCATCAATGGGTCCAAAAGCTGCCTCATAGCCTTTAGCAAAAAACCTTGCACCAACAAGTTTCTTGTTACAGTTTGATGAGTTGAAGTTTCTACCTGTCTCACATTCCCCTTTCCAGCTACTGCGTACTGGTCCAAGTCCAGTATCATCGAAACTTTTTAGTTCAGGCCATACACCTGTGTCTATTACCCCAACAATTACCTCGCTTTGTTTTCCAGAAGAAACTAGAAAAGATGTTTTCTCCAATCCAAGGAACTCTGGAGTTCGAGTTGTGTGAAGCTCGTACCTAACTTCAGGGATAATCGAAAGAATTCCCGGTTGCTTTGTGAGTAAGTCTGTTTCTTCAACTGTTAGCCTTGTGGAAAATCCATGAGCTACATGTTTGTAGGTATATAGCATCTCTGCAGTGTCTGATACTGTTTTTAGCGATGACTCATACCATTGGATATGATCGTCAAAACTCGCTGGCATGTTGAACTTGTCCATGTGAACTATGTATGTCCTTTTAGGATGCTGTGTTTTCTTTTCTGCTATGGTGTATCTTCCAGAGAAAACTAGCAGCAAAGCCATCTGAAGACACTTGAAAATCAGCATATTCATCTTTTAAGCCAAATTTGTATTTATCTTCTTTTGAAATTGCTTCAGAATTGCAGGGATAGCTGCTATTTATTGTTGATTTGGATTATTGAGTCTGTAGTGATTAGAAGAATCTTGTATTGCCAATGCACATTTCAAATGGGAACATAAAAATAGTGCAGTCACTGTGCTATAAAACAATAAAAGTGGTGTTGTAGCAATACACATTTTTTTCAGTGTAATATAGTATCAAAAAATTATATTATGGAACCTCGTTAAGAGAAAAAGTGTTTATTTCTTAATTTTTTATTTGTACTTTATTTGCATTAAATCATAGTTTATATCAAAAGATAATGTACACAGATTCGGTGGATTTGCCACATCTCTACTATCACAATTTGGCTTCAATGGAATTCCTCTTGTTCACTGGCAAACTTTACATGTCATAATTCACACTCTTTGTTCACTAGTCTAATTACAAATACAATATTAAAACTTCACTCACAAGTTAGGCTTAGGATTGTATAATATTTAAGGAAGAGTTTTAATTATCCCGAAAATAGTTGTAAAATTGTGATGTGTTACTTTAATTAGTAGAATTCTCTATTTTAAAACTTAAAAAAGTATAATTTAATATAAAAATTTATAAATTACTTAAATTTAAAATAATCATATTTAAGATGTGTCACACTAAATATTACTAATATATCTTTAAATTAGTATAGAATTTGAATCATAATTTGTAATGATGTAGGAGTCTAATTTCTTCCGATACACTCAACTTTAATAGTAATATTTTTATTTTTTATTTTTATAATAACAGACCAAATAATTATATGATATGCAATAATTATCTTTATATATCATAACAAGCAATAATACACAACATTATTCATGTTGTTACTTTTAAAAAGAACTTTTTCTTTCAGTCCTTTTCATTTAATTTTAGCTTTAATTTATGTTAAAGTGTAGCGTTAAGGATCCCGAATCTCAAATATAAAAATCACATGCAAGTAGTGTTTACGGGCCAATTTGATTCGGTTTTAAAAGAATCCAATATCTAAATCGATCAAAAATAAATATATGAATTAATTTAGATTGAATTTTTATATTTTTTCGATAAAATTCAAACTAACTCAAATTAAAAAATAACGGATTGGTTTGAGTTGAATTGATCAAGTACGTGTGAATTTTTAAAAAAAATATATAATTTAGATCAATTAATTTTCTATAATAATATTAATTTTTAATTTTTTTCATTTTTCTATATCAATTGTGATTGTCACAAATTGTATTTTATTTTTTTTAAAGTTAAATATTTCAGATTAATTTTCATAATAATAATTATATAAATTAATATAGTTAGTTTGAATAGACAGACTCGTGTCTCGTGTGTATATTTTTTGAAATTCAATACCCAAATCTAATTAATATTAGATTTCAGTTCTTACTCAAACTAAAAAGATATTCAAACAAAACATCTTAATTTAATTTAGATTAATTCAGATTTTATCGAATCAATGGCAATCATATCAATTGAGTTGTATTTACTTGACAACTCACATGATTTAGTAATAGTGGCCTACTACTTTGCAAAACTTTTTTCTTGAAGTATATGAGTATATATAAACATCATGACCATAGGATTTTTTTTAACAATAAAATGTAAGGGTACAATCCAATCAAATAGAACTTCAATGGGAACAAATGTCTTGCTTTTTTGACGATCAGTGATCTGGCATTGTGGAAATTGCGTACTCTTCCTTTTCTACTTTAATTTAATGCTAACTAAATGTTATTTCACAAAAAAATATGGCACTAGTATATGGTCCACCAAAAATTATAGTGGAAGAACCACTTATGTGAGGGACGTTGATTAAAGATTTATTAGCATATTTATTGATGAGTCATATATACTATTATTGTCTTCATTTCATGTCGTTTGAAAATCAAACTAAATTTTTTTTATATTTTTTGAGACTAAAATAATATATTAACCATTAAAAATTCTTAAGAAGTATTAAAAGAACTTCAAAATTATAGTTACAACAATAATAGAACTATCACGTAAAACTAATAAAACAAACTCTCAACTATTCAACACACTCTAACAAATAATATAGAAGATTCAACCTTCAATTCTAATAATTGAAAGTGAACAAATAAAAATAAGATTTTATCTATCAGAAAGAAAAAAGTTTAACCTTTTCATAAATAGAAGTCAAACTTTGATTAATGTTCTGAAAAAACTACTGATTTCGCATTTTCCAAATGCTCCAAACAACAGTTACTTATATGATGTGAAAGACATTACGACATGATTTTGACCACCCTCCCAGAGCCACAAAATGATCATGATACTTCCAAAAATATCCATGAGACACCGACGGAAATCCTAACCAATCCGACATCACCTGCAAATTCTTACCAAAAAAATCACATCGAACAAAAATATGGTCCATGTTCTCATTCTAACCACACTCTGCTAAACAATTTTGTTCCTGAGCACTAATAATACGGCGTTTAACCAAATTATCCTTTGTCGGTAATCTATTACGATATAACCTCCAAGCAAAAAGGTTAACCTTTAATGGGACCGCCTTAGATCACCAAACGTGAGAGTCTCCAAATTGTTGGGGCTCCATCGACTTCGTCAAAAACTGATACACACTACTCACATTATACCGCTTTGAAGAATGAAGCCGCCACACCCAAGAGTCATCAACCGAGTCCTGCAAAACAAAAGAATCCAACAATAAAATACACTCCCCAACCAAATCCTCCTCCCACGCAAACAACCTCTTCTGCCAACTCCAAGCCCCTCCTTCCACCCCCACTCTAAGGCACACATCTCCGCAACTGTAGCATCTTTATGCTCAGATAATTCCTATAGCCTTCAGAATCTAGAAATCGACACCCCTCCCTCCAACGATGGATCCCTCCAAACAGAGAGTTAGCCTCATTTCCTAGTGATCTTTCACTTTTTTGAACTAATTTTAGTCATCCATTTACTGCATATCCAAAGATGAAAATTTCCCGTGGTGCTGCAAAAGGAGTCTTCTTTTGGAGGTGCTCCGAATTTGAGTTCTCCTTTCTTTTGTTTCTTCTGAATCTGTTGTTTCCTCTATTTTGTAATGTTATTCGTAGGTTATTGCGGCAGAGGCTGTGCGAGGAACAAATTGGTGGTTTGAAAGAGTTTTGCATTTCGTTGTTGTCTAGGTGGTTTGTTTTTCACCTTCCTCGATCAGTGTTGAAGAATGAACAAGGCTTGACGTGGTCTCAAAGGATGATGTCTCTCTCTCATTCGGATATTTATTGGTGTTCCCGATCTCTGGAGGATGTTACTATCATTGACCATTATGGGGAGTTCCCTAACGTCCCACTCTTGGGTATTAGGGGAGGCATTATTTATAACCCTTCTCTGGCACTACGGCAATTTGGCTATGCTCGAAGAGATGGCCCTCATGACGCACTCATCCAAGGAATTATATTCAACTACGAGATGAAGTCTAAGGTTATTGTCAAAGGTTTGCACAAGCCTGGGGAATGGTAAACAAGGCTGATAGCAAGACGTTAGGGCATAAGAACTCTATTCCTTTGGAGCCATATCTCAAATGGGTGTGAGCTCGCGCTCAAAGTCTCATGATGCCGTATGCAGCCATCCTACCAATAGTTGTGGAGTCTGTTGTTGAGAGGGTGTTCCTTATACCATTCTCCATCCTGATATACCTATTGACCTTGAAGAGTTGCAAAAGTCTTGGATTCAACTGAAGGAAGAACGGGACATCTTTGAGACCCAAATCTATGCAAGTGAGAAGAAAGTGTTGGAACTTATAAGGCAACTTCAAGAGGAGAAGAGTCTCAATGCATACATTAGTACAAAGAGGAAGCGTCCTTGGGAGATTTGATTCTTAGATTTTAGGAGTTCATTTTATCTTTGAAATTTTTTGTCATCATTGTAAGCCTAAAAGGCAGTTGTAATTTGAACTTTGCTAATAAAATTTTTGTTTCTTGTTTCCTCCTAGTTGGAAAATTTAAATTTCCTAAGGTCCTTGAAATCAATGAATTTACATATCATGCATCATTTCATAACAGGTTTTCCATACAGGTTTCTCATTTTCTCACTGTTTATTTCAGTAGAAAAATGGCCCTCGAACAAACCGTAAAGGATCTCCAGGATCTCCAGGCCAAGAAAAAGAAGACTAAAAAGCCTGTTGATGTCCTCAACATGGGGATGAGGTTCAAGGGTCCCGCTTAGCCAGTCCATGTAGAAGATGACTCTTCTGAAGAAGATGACCACCGTGATAAAGATGGCAAGGACAAGTAGGATTATGAGAATACTCTTGAAGATGAAGAATTTTCTGATGAACAGTATCCTCCTACGGATGACAAATATAAGCAGTTAGAGGACAGACTCAAGGCAATGGAAGTCCAGAAGGTGCATGGACTGGATTTTGGTGAATTGGGTCTGGTTCCAGGGGTGTTCATCCCACCTAAGTTTAAGGTCCCTGTTTTTGCTAAATACGATGAAGTCTCTTGTCCTAAGCTCCACTTGAGGTCGTACATTCGGAAAATAGAGCCTCAAAGTGCTGACCAGAAGTTATGGATCCATTTCTTCCAAGAAAGTTTGGTCGACACCCAACTAGAATGGTTCTATCAACTGGAAGGAACCAACATTCATACATGGGAGGACCTGGCTGCTGCTTTCTACAAGCAGTACCAATATAATGCTGATCTGGCACCAACTCGAGTGCAACTTCAGAATATGTCCATGGGCTCTAATGAGGGGTTCAAGGAATATGCTCAGAAATGGAGGGACATAGCTGGAAGTGTGCAACCTCCTCTAAATGACCGGGAAATGGTGGATATGTTTATGGGCACCCTGACAGGCCCGTTCTTTAATTTGTTGATCAGAGTCTCTTCGATGGATTTTACAGAAATGATCTTGACAGGGGAAAGAATAAAAAATGGTATTGATAAGTGCAAATTGTAGCTATTTTTGTATATACTTTTGGTGCACTTAT